TCTCTCGTGAAGCCAACACGGAAGTGACTTAAACTGTAATTCATCGACTGGCCGCTAGAGGCTGGCTCCAAAAGGGAGTCAATCCCATAGACTCCCCATGTTAAAATGCCCAACTTTACAGCAGAAAAAAACATGTTTACAGCCTGGTTCAAAAAGTGGTTTTGGTCTATATAGCTAATTTTGCCCTGCATGACAACTGTGAGGGGGGTGAATTTTTTTATAACTCATCCGTTTAAATTATATTTAGCCTTAAATTTTTGCATAATTAAGGGTGTTAGAGTGGCCACTTGAGTGACAGGTGGATTGCCGCTGCTGTCACCACCATCGAGCTAGGTGTGTGTGGTTTCAGCAACCTGCTCCCGCCTCTTTGCCCATTTTCGATTATCCGGGAGTGACGCGGCGGTGACAAGCTGGCGACGGCCGGCTCCGCCTATTTTAGGCTTCAAAAACGCTCTTCAGAAACCTACGGGTGACGTCACGGACACTACGTCCATGTTTTTATACAGTCTATGGTATGTCTATAACATCTCCAGGTCTCATTTCAACCCAAAATCAAAATGACTTATACTTTGCATAAAGCCCACAAAAAATACCGTTTTTAAATTGCTAAATAAATGTGATGTGATGTGACATGTGGCCAAGTATGGTGACCCATACTAGGAATTAGTGCTCTGCATTTAACCCATCCTTAGTGCACACACACAGCAGTGAACACACACACACCGTGAACACACACACACCGTGAACACACACCCGGAGCAGTGGGCAGCCATTTATGCTGCGGCGCCTGGGGAGCAGTTGGGGGTTCGGTGCCTTGCTCAAGGGCACCTCAGTCGTGGTATTGAAGGTGGGAGAGTGCTGTATATTCACTCCCCCCACCTACAATCCATGCCGGTACGAGACTCGAACCCGCAACCTTTGGGTTACGAGTCCGACTCTCTAACCATTAGGCCACGACTTCCCCGGGAAACAAAGAATCATGACAAATATTACCATGGCATGTAAATACTTCAAGATATAAATATTAGGTATTTTTTGCATAACAGTTACGAGAATAGTTTTTTGCTTTTTTTCAATTATGGGAATGAGAGTCACAGAAGTAGAGAACTCATGACCCTCCAGGAAATCCCTTGACTTGAGTTCATGTGCATTTTCTCAGTCGGGAAATTATTTTTCACGTGCGGTGCCAGTGATGATGCTTCTTACGTCGGTTTCGGAGAACCAGAGGACAAATATTTCAATCGATCGCTCAGGCATGGCACCGAAATCTGCGTTCTGATTCGGTTCTAGTACATAGCGGCTACATAGGTACCGGTGCCATATTGGTACTGGGTTTCAGTACCCAACCCTACCCATGAGGATTGTTGTGTTTGCAGTATGTGGGTGAGAGCGAGCGGGCCGTCAGACAGGTCTTCCAGAGGGGCAGGAACTCAGCGCCGTGCGTCATCTTCTTCGATGAGATCGATGCGCTTTGTCCTCGCCGCTCAGAGCATGAGGTAAGAGCGATCATCACACTTCACACGAGTTATCTGGTCTCTGAACTCTGAGCCAGCTCGTAATGCTGCTGTGTGTCTGCTGTCAGTCAGGAGCCAGCGCTCGTGTCGTAAACCAGCTGCTCACCGAGATGGACGGCATGGGGAACCGCCAGCAGGTTTTCATGATGGCCGCCACCAACAGGCCAGGTGACGAGAGTTATATTGACATGTTTGTGATGATTTTGGATGTCTGTAATGCGTATATGACTTCATGGCTGTTTGTAGATATCATTGACCCCGCTGTGCTCAGACCAGGACGACTGGACAAAACTCTGTATGTGGGTTTACCGCCTCCCGCAGACAGACACGCCATATTGGTCACGATTACTAAGGTAAACGCCATACAACCAAACATAATATCAACATGACCAGTTTTAATGAGGTGATATATGGGTCACCTCTGGATTGATTGACTCAAGTTCTTTCATGTTTCAGAACGGCACCAAACCACTTCTAGATTCAGATGTCAATCTTGAGGAAATTGCCCATGATGCATGTTGTGAGAGTTTTACGTAAGTTTGTAAATTGTTATTAGAGCGGTGCTCATACAATATAAGTATATAATTTTCCCACTCAAATCCTTGTATTAATTTCTGCTTTCACATGTTCTGCATCACAACAATGAAGAAGCAGGTCCTCTAAATAAGCGTATTTCTTCTGTAAGGCATCAGACATATTGAAACCGAACCTGCAGATTCCCTCTTTTCCATGCTGCGTTTTTCTCACGCATGTGCTGCAGTTTCAGTTGTGCCATCGTAATGCATTATGTGTTATGTACATATTGATGAGGTTACTGGCGATACTTGGCTCTAGTTCAGTGGTTCCCAACCCTGGTCCTGGAGGCTCCCCAACACTGCACGTTTCGCATTTCTCCTTAATCAAAAACACCTGATTCAGGCCATCAGCTCATTAGTAGAGGCTTCAAGACCTGAAATTGGTGTCAGAGAAAGGAGACATGCAAAATGAGTGTTGGGGTGCCTCAAGGACCAGGGTTGGGAACCATTGAACTAGTTATACAAGTTTGTTGATATACAAAATTGCTCCAACATCGCATCTTTTAAGAAACGCCAGATTTTTTTTTTTTCAGTAGATTTTGATTCCATAGGCTGAAGGGTGTTGATTGTGTTGTTCAGAGGTGCAGATCTGTCGGCGCTGGTGCGAGAGGCGTGTGTTAACGCTCTGCGAGTTCACCTGAGCTCACGACCAGCTCAAACACACACAGGTAACACACACACACACGATCATCTCGTCACAAACACAACAGGAGATCTGCATCTGACACAACAGCATGTCTTTAATGTTACAGAGCCGGCGAAGGACATCCGAGTGAGCCGAATTCACTTCGAAGATGCCTTCAAGAAGGTGCGACCGTCTGTGTCCAAGAAGGTGAGTGACAAGAATAAGCCAACCTCACCCTACACATTTAGCCAAAGAGATGACCGACATCTGTGATTGGCTGGACTGTGCTTTGATTCAATTGTAATCAATTGCATTAGCTACAAAATGCACACTAAAAACCAGCTGATTTTGTTGGTGTAGTTACTGTTAGGGGGGCGGTATTATCATCACTGACTTTATTTTCTTGAATTTTCTTTTAAATAAGTGGCTCTTTACATTCATTATGAAGGCGCTCTGAACAGAATGCATGAGAAATCCTTGAGCTGTGTGAAGAGTGGGTGTGATTTTTAATCGTGGGTTTTTATTTTCCTCTTTGCAGGACCAGATAATGTATGAAAAACTGAAAGAGACCCTCACAAGATGACAACCGTTGATCAGAAATCTACATTTGGATTCCATTTTTTTATTACTAAGAATAAAAAAAAAAAGAAGAAACTGAGTTTTCTCCTGATCATTGTTTTGTGCATTTGTCTTCGTTCAGGGGAGATTTCAGCATTTTTTTTTTTTTACATGATTAAACGTTTCATAAAGTTATATATGCAATAGTGTATATTAGAAACTGTTTCAGTGTTTTAACAAACCTTGCATGACAAGTTACGTTTTTTTTTTGTACATGTAGACTGAACTTTAGTTTTATAGATTTTTGCCTGTTGTGTTTCTGGAAAGGAACAGACCCTTAACAGAAAACACACGAGATTGTAGTTCAGTGTTTTTCTTTCAGAATGACAATATCATTCAAATGTATCCCTGACTGATCCATCATGAACTGAAGCACCAGCAATCTTTGAGAGGTTTGAGAAAGATGTTGTATGTGTGTGTGTGTGTATATATATATATATATATATATATGCGCACTACTAGTCCAAGGATTTGACACACTTAAACTTTTATTTCTTATATTAAACTTATATATGATGATTGATCTAAAACCTGCTTGAAATTGTTTTTTGCATACAGATATAAATTGTCTTATTTCCCAAATGAACAAGTTGTCAATTGTCTAAACCTTTGATCAGTAGAGTACTGCAATTCCACTATTCAGGGTTAAAATATATACATACAAAATATCAAATATTTCAGATGGACGACAGTAACAATCATTAGACACTAGCTCAAATTTATTAAGGCTTTTCAGTTCGCGTGATACAAAACAGATGTTGACCACTCAAAACTGCATTCAATGTTAGCCAAGGTGTGTCAATTCACTTGGTTAATTGATGAAATAAAGAAGTATAACAGAGGCTTGAACACACAGGCCTCTTCATCAAACCACCAGATTTGGGCGTCTATTAATGAGATGAGTAGCATTAATCACTTTGAGTACTTAAAGACCCACTGCACCTCTCCAAAACCTGAAACATGAGTCAGATTATCTGGACATTATCGGCCGATGCCGACCTTTACATTTAAAGCCTTTATCAGCAGATTCCGATAATGTTCTGATGGTATTGTGCATCCCTACTTCCACGCAGGAGTAAATGCAGAACAAAACAATTCCTTAAAACTAAAAGCGTCTGAATGTTCAGACCATGTGCAACAGAGGAGCTCAAATGTGTTGGTTCACAATTAAAATTCGACAGCACGCTTGCTAAAAACCAGAAAGTAACATGGCCTTTTCCTTTGTGTCACAGAAGCTGAAATGACGGCTAAAAATCGCTGCTTCGCTCTCTAGCAGGCGAAGGTTAAAACGGTCAGCGGCAGATGTCGTCCCGTCGCGGTCACTCCTGTTTGACATCTCCGGTCAGTCGTCTCTTCACGCGGGAGTACGGACTCAGTTCATCGTCCATGATAAAGTCATAAAGGACCTTCACCCATGACGTGTAGCACGGCAGGTCTCTGTAGTACTCCGCTGCGATTTTCTTCACCTGGTGGAAGGAACGGGACACAGCGTCTTAATACACTGGAGAGCATCTGTGTGTTTCATTAGCTGTGGTGCGTGATGAGCTGATGACGTACGGACAGTAGCTGATGTTCTGATATGAAAGATGAACTGCATTGTTTACATGCCTTTCGTCAGTCTGAGCTCACATGCACAGATTAGTTAATCTTTCACATCAGACTAGACTAGTCAGTCAATGATGCGGTTTGGTGATTCTTGTCTGTAACTAACCTCTTTGAGTAAAAACAATCTGAATTTTTAGTTGGCTTTGCCAGTGTCAACAAAACACTATTAGTGCTATAGTAACGTTCATAATAACAGGAATTTAAGGAATTATTTAAGGAATCAAAACAGTCAGTCTTATCGCCATAAGGGCAAAAGTTCAGTTCAGCATGCTTCCTGAGAGCATGTCGAACTGCTCAGGAACTGCCCCCAAAGTTCAAATTCAAAATACTGGATAGCATTGTTTCTCCAATGCTCTCCCTCAGACTCTACGTTCACACGGGTTGCCAGATTGAGGACAATGGAAGGCAACGAGCCTTACGCTGTAAATGAATGGGTTGATTTATCAGTGTTTTAACGCCTCTAGTCACACAGCTTTTTAGACGGATGCCGAGACTTTTTAGGTCGGGTACAACCCTCTACGCACACCTTTGAAATATAATCGCCATTGGCTAGTACCTTTTTTAGTTTACTCACCAGACTAATCGCTATTTTACAGACACACAGCTTCTCTTTGTTAAATGGCACAGCTTCTTAAATATCTGAATGTACACTCTTTAACTAGGGTTGGGTATCGTTTGAATTTTATTGATTCCGATTCTTATTGATTCCTAGTTTCGATTCCAATAAGATAAAAAAATCCAATATAAAAAAAAAGTCAAACATTTAGATGTCAAACATTTATTATGTCTTTTTACAAAGCATTATGTTGCAGCTGAATAGCACAAGCAAAAATCAGCAGCCTACAGAACACTGCAAGAGGAACGACAAATATGAAAGAAGTCAGTTTCGGCCCGGAACAACCTTTTCTACAGTGGAAATACACGGAGCGGTTCGAGAACGGACACAAACCGGGAACCAGTACCAGACCTCTCTCTGTTCTCTGTGCTCACGCTTGCGCTTCGTGTGCGCTGCACGCAAACGGTGCAAGTTCTTTCCGTTCCTGCACTTAAATCGTTTTTAATCACATTAAAATGCGAACGCAGGAATCGTTAAGCAGAATCGAAATGCATGCGTCTTATCGAATACCCGGTTCTTGGAAATTTGGAACCGGTTCTAAAATGGAACCGTTTTCGATACCCAATCCTACTCATAACATCAGTCAATCATGCATTATATTATGATAATTAAGCACTATTTAATGATAAAACTTTAGTTATTAGAACTAAAACTTGGTAACCATGTATGAATACATATTTGTCATTTTAACTGAACTTAGGACTGTTGGTCATTCAGTTTATGTAAAAAAAAAAAAAATAGTAATAGACAATAGTTAATATTATTAAAAGATAATACTACTACTAATTCTACTACTATACTAACAATATACAACGCACTAAGGATTGATGAGCTGCTGGGTTCATGAATTTATTCACGTTGTCAGTGTTCGCTCGAACTGATTTGCTGAAATTAAAACAGGGACCGTAATAGATGAGGGCCAGCCAATGAGATTGCCGTTTGTGCATTAGCTCCGCCCACGACCGGAGAAACCGGTAAATCTTCTGCTTGTTCTTAAAAGCTGAATAATTCCAAATGAACTCCTTTATTCTGACAGGAAAATACAACAAAGAATATGGTTTACATGTACCGCGTCGATTCAGAGTGGTATGTAAGGCTGTCGCTCTCTCGCTCTTTGCACATGTGAGAAACAGCGCTATCAGCAAAGCAACGGCGAGTCGTGTGCCTTCACACTAGAGTTTACGGTGTGTCAAATACAAGTACACCGCATCCATTGAGATGAACTGAAAGAGTACAGATCGCTTAATGGAGAGTGAAACTCTGAAGCGCTCAGTCAGTGTTCAGCGAGTGAAAATATATCTACGCTAAATTTATAATTAACCTCGAACACACACTGGCGAGTAAAATCTAAGAATTTATTAGCCAATGGCTAGATTTGGTCACATATGCGAGTGATTTACTCGTAATGTAGAGGGTTGGGGTAGAATCTTTAATCTCTGACTCAGTTTGTTTGCTGGCTTCCATGGCTAAAATACATGGTTTTTCACCAACTGGCAACCCGGGTGTGGAAATCCTATTGCAGTGGTTCTCAATTACAGTCCTCATGACCCCCCGTTCTGCACATTTTGTATGCGTCTCTTATCACTTCAGACGTTTGTTCTATTAGACCGTAAGTGCCCTGCGAAATGGACATCACAGGATATTCCGCCGTGATTCCAGTTCGAAGGGAGCGAATGTGTCCCATTCAGAGGGCATTAAATTATGTGAGACGTGAATTTAAATTGTATTTATTTACAGAGATATATTATGACTTCTCTAGTAAGTTTCGTCTGTGTGTGAAGACACTGCAGGTCGTGGCATACTGCAAGTCTGTGAATGAATGTTCCGAAGTGGAATGAATTTCTCATGCTCAGGGAGTAGGGAGCAATGAACACTGTGTAGGGACCCTATCAATGGTAACACAGTTCATGCATGGAGCTCTCTTCTAGCGAGCTGATGATCTGAATCAGGAGTGTTAAATAAGAGAGACATGCAAATTTTGCAGAGCGAGGGGTCGCCAGGACTGGAATTGAGAACCACTGTCCTATTGGGTAAACTGGCAGTGGGCAGAATCACACGGACCAAAACAAAAACAGACATTCTGACACAGATTGCACATTTCAAAGCAGAATAATTGACTGTAGTGTTGTTTTTTTTGAGAAAAAAGTATGTGAACTTGGCATGTTACGCTTAACATATTATGGTATTTTTATGCTTTAGTACAGGCAAAAAATTACATACAGCACCTTTAAGTCATAAGGAGGTGCGAGAGGATAAGCAAAATTCAAAATCTGATTGTGAAAAAATGGATGGAATGTTTTCATAGTATCATTCTTGATACTTTTCTCACATAGTACAAATGGGTCTTCATACATAAAAATATTGAGCTGCTATTATATTTTAGGAAAATGCTCAATCACAAGGTGATTATTATATTTGGGGTGGCATCGAAAAGTAAAACAAATAACTACTTAATTATTGAGATGGACTGAATAACTCATCTTACCATTGGTAGTCGGCGTCCTGGAACGCTAGGGAAGTCGTGGTGCTCGTTGTGGTACCCGACGTTGAAAGTCAGCAGGTTGAGGGATCCATAGTAAGAGTAGGTCTCATGGCCTTTGAGGAACATGTAATGTTCTGCGATGAAGTGTCCTGAGATGGGATGGAGACCCATTCCTAACATTGAGCCCATCATCATGTAGACCAAGGGCTTGGCACCACAGGTCCAGTAAAGCAGAGTGTTAAACGAGAGCTGTATGGCCACGTTGATGAGCTCTAGTTGACTGATGGGTTTGGGGTTGATGCAGAGGGGACGGATGGCGTAGAACAGCGGCTGGAACATGATCCAGAAGAGCTTGCGCAAACGGGTGCAAAAGAACCAGCCCTCGAAATCAGTGGGGATGTCGACATCCACGCCATCTCCACCCAAGTACCGATGGTGGTCCAGGTGGTAGCGCTTAAAGGATGCAGAGTAAGGCAGCCCAATGGGCAGATTGGCGAAGATGGCGAACCAGCGGTTCCATTTGGCACGGTTGTTGCCGAAAGCCGTGTTGTGAGAGATCTCGTGAATCGCTAGTGTCATTGAATGGTTTATGCAACTCCCGAACACATATGTCCAGAACATGACCCATTTCCACGGCAGGTCCTTCACCAAATAGAAGGCCAAAAACTGGACGGCAACCATCGTGCAGACGATCCATTTCAGCCTGGGGTCGGGTCCCATCAGAGACTTGATCTCTGGGTATTTAGCTGCCAAAATAACAAAAGACAACAATTGTAAATCTGAAATAGTCTGATGTAGAGGATGAGTGCATGCAAATTATGTCCATTTCCATGACAAATTAACGCAACTCGACACTAGTGGGATCTGATGCGGTGGCTCATGTCTCTGGCGTGCAGCAGCGTCATCCATATCTTAATATGCTTGAAGCCCATGTCATTTGCATAAAGCTTCCAAGAAAACTATGCAAAACACAGTAGAATTTAAATGCGAGCACTTTTCATACAAGGTATTTTATAATGCGAGTACTGACCGCTTTGAGGTAGGAGTGCTACTTTAAAACCTAATCCAGGGTTTAAATATTACATGAAGCAGCAGAGCAAGGTGACGACAGGTCTGGATCACAGCGAGCTGCACTCACTGTTACTGTTCATGCAACAGCGTATAAAGCAGACTGCGTGTCAGCACAGGTTTGCATACTGGATCATCTCCAAATCAGACAAACATGAGCTCACATGAAGAAGGTTTGCTTAACAAGTAAGGATGATGTGTTGTTTGGTTAAGACTGTCGCCAGTGAGCAGGAGAAATTAGCACACTCCATATACCATATTCAGTCCAGTGGGGTTTTTAAAGATAATAGTTTAATACAAAATGCAGCTTAATTCTTTATTCATAACAGCTGCAGCAGGATGTATAATCCATGTGAACAGAAAACGTAAATAATATAATAAATAACTGAAAATCTACAGAATCAGTTACCAGATGAGTGGTGTGTGTGTGTGTGTCAGTGAGGGCATCATGAATAAATCATTAATTAGCAACAGAGCAGTTTTGTGTTAAACACAGAATGACTGAAGTGAAGCTGCTGTAATGTTCATCCAAACTCCACATATGCTGGCTCATCAGCTTTCCCCATGCATTCATACGCAGGTTTATCAGTAAAGAGTTTATGTTACTAATAAAACAGCATGTGTGTGTGTGTGTGTGTGAGAGAGAGAGAGAGAGAGACATTCAGAATGAATGGAATCAGCACATTAGCTAGCCTTCCTCATGTGACTGTCACTCACCATTTTAACACTTAATACATAATTAACGGCTGAACAAACAAAATAGAGATCACATAGTTAAAAGAGACACAGAATTACACTATAACATACTATATTCGAATAGTTATGAAACTCGTTAGCCGCTAATATCGATAAAAGAGGCCGCGGTTTAACTGGTTAGCTAGCACGGCTTCATTTGTCACGAGATCACATTCTCCACGAGACCTCGCAAGATCCTCTGAATTCACTGAAGTTCAGTCGCTGTCGAGTGCAGATGTGCGGAGTTTGCTGCAAGTGTGCAGAGGAGGGCTGGAGTCGGGGAGTGGCCCTCACATAACGGTCGCCTCAGACCTAACGAACGAGCTAACACTCACACCACACGGCTTTATGTGGCTTAGTTAGAAAAAACTTAACACAGTAAAGATGGCACGGAAGCATTACAACAAAATAAAGCGCGCTTGGCTCATTTGAGTTTCCTCGGGAGATGACTGGCTATTGGAGTCACGGCTAAAGCACCACAGAGAGCAGATTACAGATCTCAACACCGCTGATATGTACCAGAAGCGACTTCGTTTAGTAGTTATAAGAGAAGAGGAGACCGCAGAGCGGAAAAGCGACTCACCCAAAATCTCTTTCCTCCGGTCGGCGTGAGGCTGGTCCGTATAAACCCACTCAAAATCCTCGCGAGCTAACGCTACGCGATTCCCCATTTCTACGCTAACGCTAGCTGTTACTAACTGTTAGTTTGCGGTAACGTTGCGTGTATTCGCTCAGGAAGTGAGTGCAGGAATAGCAGCGTTTTTTCCTCACACGGGTCTAACAGCAGCTGCTGGACAACCTCCCCTTCCTCGTTTAGCGTCTTTTCTTAGCGAAGATCTTTCGGTTTCTAGACGCGACACTCAGACTGAGTCGCCGCGGGGGGCGGAGCCTCTCTTTCTCTTCCCTGCAAGAAACGAGCCTTCACTTTACCAGCAGAGGTTTGCAACTGATTTCCTCTCACAGACTTTTATCCACAGCAAATATCTGATGCATGTGCACATAAGCTGTTATTTTTTACTATCTACAGAGATAAACATTTAACAATCATTTGCAATGAATCTCTGCTTAGACTGATGAAATTAGGAAGATCTAGGTCATTTCTTTCAGATTAAAATGGCGTCAGAACTACTTTGGTCTTGTAATTTGGGGGAAATGATGGAGTTAAGAAATGATCATTAAAGAAAGACATGACAAGAGTCTGCATATGACTGCATATGACATCTTTAAAATAACCAAAGAATCACACAATAACATTAAATGAGATTAAATTCTAAAAACAGTAGCATAGGTCAAGTGAAGCATTTTCACTCAGTCAAAAAATAAACTACATATGTATACTTGCAATGTTGCGTGCAATAGATAGGCTAGATAAAACTGAAATAAATTAAAAAGTTAATTTTGTCAGAATATACAGATATTTTGAATGGATGTCAATGGAGAAATATTCTCTTCACAATCAGATGGTGATCTAGCATCTACCAACAGGGACAAACACACAAAACCTTGACCTGATGTTCTCATGTGTCGCATATGATATTAATCGTTTGTTTGGTTTTGTTCCTTTTCATCCAAGGTTGGACAAAACAAAACTCCTTGCCCTGTGTACTGCTATAGCAGTATTGTATTTACAGAGCACATCTGCAGTACTTATAGAGTATACTTCATTTATGACTAAGCAGTATATCATTAAATGCGGTACATACTCTGACAGTGCAAGAATTTGGAAACAGTGACTGACTAGGAAACAGCCACTCTGTGAGATGTTTGTTTGTTTATTGCTAAATGTAGCTTAATACTAAAGATTAAAACCGCTCGTTCTCCTTGGTGACAGATATGGGTCATTACAGAAGAGGATGAGCACATAGCAGAGGTTATAATTTGACCATCAGTAATTGAATGTTGGGCTCTGCTTTACGGTCTTATACCACTGTAGCAGTCTGTTTTTAGGTCTTAGCTGTTAACGCGGCACAGCAATTATCCAGGTAGTTGACAGGTTGACTACATTCCTCTTTCTCGCACAGCTGTCATTCTAGGCTGCTTAATCATGGCTCATTGTTTTAAATGACAGCACAGGAAAATCACAGAAATTAGCTCAATGCCCTAAATTCCAGGCCAGAAGGTCTGCGGTTAAATTGGTAGAGTTAGTATAAATAAACAGGAAACATGGTCAAATCTAAGATACACTATTAAGAAGTGGTAACATGCTATTGTTATTTTAGGGAACTTTATTTATTGTTATTTTAGGGAACTCATTTTAGATACATTTGATTACTGTAACCTAATATTAGTTGATTCGGTGATTCTTAACAGCCAGTGTCAAGCTGTAATTCTTTATATTCAATATAACTCCAGCATTCACTGTCCTCACCTCACCCTGTTGAAAAAAACAGCATATGCTGGTTAGGTATGTTTTGACGCTGGGATGCTGGTTTAAGCTGGTCCTTTGCTGGTTTAAGCTGGTCCTTTGCTGGTTTAAGCTGGTCCTTTGCTGGTTTAAGCTGGTCCTTTGCTGGTTTAAGCTGGTCCTTTGCTGGTTTAAGCTGGTCCTTTGCTGGTTTAAGCTGGTCCTTTGCTGGTTTAAGCTGGTCCTTTGCTGGTTTAAGCTGGTCCTTTGCTGGTTTAAGCTGGTCCTTTGCTGGTTTAAGCTGGTCCTTTGCTGGTTTATGCTGGTCATGTGCTGGCAAAGGACCAGCATAAACCAGCACATGCCCAGCATAAACCAGCAAAAGGACCAGCATAAACCAGCAAAGGACCAGCAAAAGACCTGCATAAACCAGCAAAAGGACCAGCATAAACCAGCACATGCCCAGCATAAACCAGCAAAAGACCAGCATAAACCAGCAAAGGACCAGCTTAAACCAGCAAAGGACCAGTTTAAACCAGCATCCCAGCGTCAGAACATACCTAACCAGCATATGGGCAGTGCTTTCAACAGGGCAGTGCTCAATACTCCAGTCCAGGACCAAAGTCCTGCTGAGTTCAGCTCCAAACCTAACCAAAACCAGCTGGACAAGCTAATCAAGGTGTTCAGGTTGACTTACAAATTCCGGAGGCCTGCTCTGAAGTCACTTGCATCTGGAATACTGCGGATTTGCTCTTTCTTTCTCGCAATATGGCTGCCCACTGCTCCGTGTGTGTGTTCACG